TTAGAAATGAGGTATTAAAAATGCATGGTGTCTTGTAAAAATGAAGTACAGCATTTAGAAAATCTCAACGATAAATAAAAGTGAAAATGTAATAATTTTTCTTAAAAATGTTGTTTTTTAAACGACTTAAGGGGTTATGTGAAAATAATATTTTTTAAATATTTAATAGTTTTTGAAATAACGAGTACCTTACATTAAATGGATCACCCCGCGGTAATGTATATTTTATATCTATATGTAAGGCATATCGTCTATAGATCAATAATATCTCCCAAGAGACGGGTCGGTGATTACCTATTTGTAATTTGTGTATATTATTATTTATTATAGAGCTGCAATCACTATAATGTGTCGCTCAAATACTCTCATACGATTTCGTATATACGTCGTAATAGTATATAATGCGTACACGCACCGCGTTTATAATGATAGGTGTGCCTGGGGATCTCAAGGGCACTTCTCCGTTTTCTTAAGAAAAGGTATATTGGGTACACACATGTTATACGTATACCTAATGTTTATACACGTTGTTTAGTTGTCTGCTGCACTGCCCGATAAAATGCCTCAAATCATTATTATTATTATACACATTCGGAATTTCAGTCTACCTGTTACCGCACTTATATGCGAGCAACTAGTTGATGGTAATCGATAATAATGTATATTCGAAGCAACGTTTCGGGTTGAATATTAAAATCAACTCACATCAAAGGGATTAGATTTTTTTTTATCGCGAAATTCACAGTTTTTATCTTTTATGTCAATGGAAAGATTATGTTAAATCATTTCTCACACTATATATCACGTACCTATATAAACTGAAAGCAGTGTGGTCGGTTGAATAAAACATAAGATAAAAAATATTACTTAAAATGATTTTACATCATCAATAAGTGCGTCATAACTCATAGCTGATATTTAATATTAACAAATTGATTCCTTTACAACTGCCTATTTAATATTTATAAATTATAATAATAATTGTTATTCTAGTTTTTAAATACACAATTCTACATCCATGCATAAAATAATTAGGTACTTTAAATAGTTCAATAGTTCAATACCTACACTCTACAACTAAGTACTTTGGTAGGTGTCAATGTTGTAACTTTTTTTTAATATCGATTGTTGGCTAACACTTATTTGTCTTAAGTACATTCAAGTATTATTATTTAGTTAAGGTCAATATTTTAAAAATGATTAACATTAGTGAATATTTTATTATTGTTGAATATGATAGTTTACTCTCACGATTAATTTGATCTTATATAAAAATTTTCAATCTATTATTTATTTTAAAAGTGCAGTATTTAATAAATTATCATAGCTTTGAATACATTCCTAACCACCATTCGAGCGCGCACACGTAGAATTGCTACCAAATGCTAATCCTGCACCGTGCAAGACTCGGATAGATTATGTTATGGTGCGTGGCCACGACGATGTGGCGTTGGTGAATCCGATATTAACTATTATCAAAGGAATAATAATATATAGTATCAGAATATTATTGGTATTGTATGTTATGTAGAAAAATTTGACAACGCAAATACAGTCACAGCTGCGAGCGATCATAGTCTGGGTCCCATAAGCACCCACACAAACGTTAATGGAATTCGTTACCGCCTTGCCAACACGGGCACATTATGGTTTGATATAGGTACACGTTTATCTTTTCATTTCTTTTGCTAGCGTTATGAATCAGTGGAATTCAATCGACACATTCTGTGTTATTTTTTTTTTCTATGCTCATTACATCCACAAGACACGTCAAAACGGATAACCGCTCGCCCGGGTCAACGTGACGCACTTACTAGTAAGTTGCTATAAGTTTGTAGGTATTAATAATATTAACGTAAAAATGTACAAAGTACTAATTATTTTATAAAATAATATCACATCATCATAAAAGTGAACAAAAATAATACCTTAAAGTCATCAATAATAGTAAACACGAGTAGGTACCCATATAGAGTTAGTGAACCCAGAAACGCTCCAGGTGATAACTTTTTTGCTGTTTAGTATCCGACATTTTTATATTGGTTAGGTATACCTATATCACAGTAGGTTTTTTTCAGGGGGGGGTGTATACAATTTTTAATAGATATTCAGTATACATATAATATTAATACCTATATTATACACATGTTTTATTATTGTGTACAACATTTGGTCTCCTTAGATACGCCACTGCTGTATCATACTCACACAAGTTATGTACAAAATATATTATATATATTACGTAAATTATTAGGTATATAATTTGTATACATAATTGTCTTATGGAGAGGCAATAACTACTATTGTTTATTACACAGTCATTTTAGTTTCCAAGAGTACTAAAAGACAAATTTAATATTTTAGATAATTATGCAATAAAAAGATAGGGGTATAACAGTAAGTTATAGACAACAGTTGTTGACGACCGACACCGTTACATCGTTTGGAAATATGTTTTGATTACGTCTAAAAATTATAATCTAATGACTTAAAAACAAAAAAACGGAAGATATGACATGATAATATGTCAATAACTTTTTTTTTAAATATAATAATATTATAATACATGAATATTATAATCCATTAGGACCTACAACTGTTCATCGTTGACGCATATTTTTTTAACTACGAGTAGTTCGTACCACGTTGAATCTGGTTTTATCTGGACATCTGGTGCCATGTTAATACCGTGTACGCTTTATTATTATTACGGTGCATCCTAACCACATTCCGAGAAAATTAACATAATTTAAAGTACCAGAATTGCCAGTCACATCGTAAGTCTATGTTTTGTATTCAAAAAATGATTCTGAGCGGAGACAGTCTATAAGCAATGTTATCCTATAGTATTTTAGTTGGACAGAAGATTGAAGATTTCTTTTCAGAAAAAAAAAATACATTATATTTTAGTAAGTACAATAACCTAATGTCCGCTACTTGCATAACCGTTCTTAACACAAAGGTACAGCCTGCACACGATAAGTACATAACTAAAATGACATGGCCCACGTTGGGGTTCGCGGTTAAACTGCAGACTAGTCGAGCCAGACCCGCAGCTCAGGCGGCTTTTGGATGTGGGTGATGGAGGTTAGGATTCGGGGGGTACGAAAATACCATGTTTTTGAGACGAAGTCTCAAGATGCATGCAAACATTTTTTTTTTTTATGGAGAATTTCGTTGAAAGGAATTGAATAAATTTGAAATATATTTCGTTAAACGGAAGTTGGTTTCATACGTTTCACTTGTATAATATATTTGTCGTACGCACGCATAGGTTGTGCGATGAGCATGATGACCCCTAAGGGTGGCGGGCGGCGTGTGTTATAATATAATACGTGTATGCTATGTGTGCAGACGGCGTCGCCGGTTCTTAAAATTTCGTCCCGCCAGTCGGGCGCCGCACGCGATTGGGTGACCGCCGAGACCCGAAAACGACACAAAGAAATTTCGAAGGGGTGACGTTTTAAAAACGTACATCGTATCGCATTACCTGTACGATTTATTACACAATATATCGTATATAATATGTACTACCTCGTGGTGCGTGTACATACGTATATATAGCGTGTGTCTAAATGTAAGAATGTGTTGATAAAATCAATTAAGTTACCTACGTTTCAGTTTTAAGATAGGTACCTGGTACTTAATGGATTTTCGTTAGTCGAATCTAAACAATAAATCGCATGCGTATGGCGTCACACGTCAGTAGCACCATTACCCGTCCCGCGACAAAGAGCGTCATCGCATTCCTTTTACGTCATCGAGTCGACATATTTCACCGGATTTAAGATACTTATAGGTCAGACATATTTGTTAGTGTGAATACCTCGACAGAGATAACCACGCAGTAAACATATCTTGATTTTTTTTATTTACTCCAAGGTTACCTATAATATATCCGTCGTGGTTTTTCAAAACCATTTGTACATTATTCTCGATTTCAACTGTAATACTGTGAATGAGGTATTGTGTACCTACATGCATCTATTATAAACTATAATAGGTGCTATGAAAAAACTTTCGACTTAACGATACATTTAAATCAAGTAATTAAATAAATAAAATGACACTGGAATCTTTATGATTTTTAAATTTTAGTTTGGAAATTTAGAAAAATGTACATTTTGGTATCGGATTACAGTTCTTAGAAAATACAAACCTTATCAAAATTAAAAATGTTTGTTTTAATCTAACCAGTTAAAATAATATGAATTCTGTAACTGTTACTATAAACTCAATTAATGTTAAATGTAACCGGCCAAGTGTGAGTCGGAATAGCGCACAAAGGGTCCAGTACCATCATCTATAAACATGTTGGCAACACTGCTTATATTGTATATTTTAAGATTTTTAGTATTTGTTGTTATATCAGCCACAGAAATACATAATCTGTGAAAATTTCAACTTTCTAACTTTCATGGTTCATGAGATACAGCCTGCAGGCTGTGACAGACGGACGGACATCGGAGCCTTAGTAATAGGCTTCCGTTTTACCTTACGGAACCCTAAAAATGACTCTAGTTCGGTAAAATTTAGATTTTGGTTAGTAAAACTGTTTTTTAAGGATTCTGGTGAGGTTGGTCCAGAATCCGGTTCCAATATTTTCATAGAGATCAAGTTCCTGATCCCGATATTTATATATAATTTTGCAGAGGAAATGTCTCTAAGAAATATGTAAGCCATCTGTTAAATATTGGGTAATAAGTAATAACATAAAATAATAACATCTATATTCTGTTTCACAATATTTAATTAAATACGAAAGTTGGTATTAAAAGGGCCAAAGTTGATAAAACCTAGAAAACCATTGTACCCACTTGGTATAATGGTAAATGTAAGATTAATGGTATATTATATGTTTTGCTGCTATATTTATCTTTATGTGTATATAAAATTGTTTTTAAAACACAAACATTTACCAAAAATATAGAGTTAAAAAACGTTTCTGTATATAGTGTAAATATAATATATTAATCTATAAAGACTGGGTAAATACTCACATAGTCATGAAACGCAGTACCAACAAGTTGATGCTGGCGGCAACAACGGCGAGTCCAAACAAAATGAACACCAAACTAAGTGCCACGTACCCCGGCATTGTCGTCAAGGCTTGATCGTTCTAAAACAAAACATTTTACGTACGTGTAGTAATAATAATATAAAGTGTCAATATTGGAATGCTATGCTCGTATGGGACAATGGGTAATTTCAGGATAATATAATATAATATAATTATAAAAATACAGTCATGCACTCCTGTGCAATATTCGTAATTATTATACGCGTATGTCACAATTTTGAAGTATCAAATCAAATTAGTTGTAAAAAATAAGCACATAAATGGGATGTATTGAGTACATATACATACATCAAAACACCTGCGGAGAGCGATATTATATTATTATAAAACGTAACACTGTAACATGCATTATAATATTATGCATTCAATCGAGAAATGTGTGTTATGTGTACTATTCGAATATAGGACTCACGGGACCCTCGATTCAATTCCCCTCAGAATATTGTCTCGAGCTTAAAAAGTAAAATATATAATAATATCATCGATCATCAGTAGATGCTGTGCAACAGTGCTATACTAAGAGCCCCTCCAACATGTAATGTTTTATTAAAAACGTATTCAGCTGTCAAAATCCTATAATATAATATTATACTATTTATTTTTAATATTCAACAAATAGCGATGCGTTTTTCTTGATACGAAAACAATTGTTGCAGCGCGGATAACTCTGCTATTGATTCTCAAAAATTATCTGCATAAAAATCTTTTAATTTCAAAGTTGTTTCTCTATTTAAGCAGGAATCTGGTTGAAGTTTTCGTCGAAATTTAAATTTATTTACAGACGGATATTGCATTATTAAATGACCAGTGACCATGTTTAAAAATCAAAAGAAGTAGGTTATTAATATGTGTAAACAAACATACAACTCCCATTAGTGAATAGTTTTTGAGTTTTTTTTTTTTTAACACACTCGTTTTTCGATGAACAAAAACCCGTTATTCAGATTCTACAATTTCATTTATCATAAACTATGCTCAATTTAATATTATATAATACTGAAGCTTGGTGTGGCGCGGTCAATACACTCAACTATGGAAATGCTCTGACTGTACGTATCGGCCTGTGTTGTTAACTTCCGGATGGGTGACCACTCGGGATTTTTATCTACAAATCCTTGCCACACATACAAACGTGTTTCAACAGTTCCTGCCCCCTACAAACAAAAAAACAGCTAATGGCCATAGTTGCCGAGCTTAAGCTCAATGATAAAACAAAATAAAATAAAATAAACATCATCGTAAAACCACTAGCTTAATCGCTCCGCTCAGAATCTATAAAAATTATAATATGTCGACAATTTTATATATTTCGGTGTAGGTACAAGTGTACAACATATTTTATTTTAGTTTTTAATTTTATTCCAGAGTTGATAACATGCGTTTTTATCAGGAATATATAGTTTTGTATACACCAGGTTGTGAAATCAATGTCGTAATACCGACCTAAGATTTTAATTCTTAACTGTAAAATGTTTGTTAATGTGATATCATTATACACTTCCACGATAAATAATTTTTTTTTTTATATTTGACGAATTTGTTTCAGTGAATACCAAAGAGCGTGTGATTAAATCACGCTAGATGAATATATTTTGGGCTATAGTTGATGAGTTAAATGTATAAATAATATTCGTAATATTTTAATATGCAATCAAATCTTACTATATTATGAAACTCTGAGCAAGACGATACTTTTTCGCGGTACATGTTAAAATAATATAATATTACAGACAACCTATATAATATATCGTAATATAAAATATCATTACAGAATCATTGTACTCGCTCACAAGTCACGTGACAGCCGAAGTACTAAAACGAGAAAAATAAAAATATTATCAATGCCCCAGCCGAATCCACCGGCGGGTGGTACCTACCCATCTGTGGCCACCGTACGGGGTGACACGCGACAGATAACATCAACGTTTGACGTCCAGTGGATGGACACGTGCGCATCTGTATTACTATTTTGTCCGGGATTATTATTGGGTTGTGTTATTAAAGGGTCCACCGTAACCCCGATGGTATAGACTTTAGATACCATACAATATATAATAATATACATATATATATATATATATATTTACCATAAATTTATATTACGGTCCTTCGTATATTATTATCGTGCCGTGTGGACTGAAGTATTTCGCTACGACAGGCTTAAGTGATCGGTCACTGGCATTGGACTTCGCTCCGATACACAATAAACAGTAACGAATACATGTTATTATATAGTTACTGTTTTGATATTACCGAATATATAATAATGTACAGGATGACATAATATAATAATAATAATAATAATAATACGAAGCGTCGATACCTATATGATATATCATACTATATCACTGACAATGGTTTTTTATTTTCATATTTCATACCCGTGCTGCAAGAAGTAACGACTGAGTATCCAGAGGTGTGTGTGTGTGTGTGTGTGTGTGAGAGAGAGAGAGAGAGAGAGAGAGTGAGAGAGAGAGAGAGAGAGAGAGAGAGAGAGAGAGAGAGAGAGAGAGAGAGAGAGAGAGAGAGAGAGTGTGTGTGTGTGAAAGAATACCGGTCCAAGAGGTCCATCGGTATTTATACATCTAATAAATATTATATTTTACAACGCGTGTCTCTTCTGCCCTGCAGGTCACGTTATATTTCTCAATTACGAAACGGATGACTTTTTACTGGTCGTCGTCAACGTTATTTTCTAATAATTAAATGATTAAAAGTGTAAAACGATATTATTTACCATACCATTCACCGTAATATCATTTTATTAATTATTATTATTATTCATATACATTGCATGTTTGTATACCAACGTGTTATACATGTAGATTTGAGACCAGATTACACAGCATCCGAAAACAATTTATTAATTTACATAATTACATTTGATTGGAAAAAAGAACTTTATATTGTTAAATAAAATATAACATCATACAAATTGAAGTCAAAATTTCAATTTTATAATTTCATAACATTATGTAATCTTGTAAAGTTGTAAAAATATTTGTATTTTGCAGTTTGCAACATTTTTAGGTTACCGAGAAGTGGCAAATAATGTTTAATATATGATAACATATGAATTAAGTGTATGTAGGGAATACTAAGATGAATAAATAAAAATAAATTGGAACTTTTTATCAAAATATCAAAGTTTTGAAAATAAAATTATAACATGGAATATTAATATATGAATCAATAATAACGTCCAAATCAAAAATGGATGTTACAAACGGTTTTCGAAGAATTGATTCCACCAACGAAAATGTATGGAACTATTTCAAAAACGACAACGCGACTATAAATGATTAAATATCAATGAAACTATCTACTCCAAATACTACCAATATAATATACTCCTGAGATTTTAAAATATTTTGTGTGCATAATATTTAGGTGTTCTATACATTGTATATTAGCATAGAATTACATAGAAAAGTATTATTTTCTAATATTTTCAACCGTTACTATATTAATACGATTACAAGCATCAATATTTAATGATAATAATCACATTCAATGGTGTTATTCAATATTTTTATATTATTTGAATATTTTTTTATTGTGATATAGTAATAGATATATAGTCTGTAAGTACCTACCGAATATACTACAGAGACCGGTTGTAGGTTACCACACTGTTGTTGTATAGCTTAACTAGGGTCTCTCATAAGTTTGGTATGCTGATACCGTGGGAATATCTATACCATTTTAGAATTTTGTAATAACGTTCATATAAATTATGATTTAAATATATTCATACAAATCATGATTTAAATATATTCGTACATGGTTACTGAAAACTTTCACAGAACAGTGAAATCATTTTAAAATGTTTTGAATTTTCAGGGAGGATTTCAGTATAGACTTTACTGCTTTGCTACTCCTATAATTTATTCTGTTATTATTTTAATAAACATTATCGACTCGTAGTTAATTCTTCTGTTTCTTTCACGAATCGATTTTAATGAAAGAATAAGAACCCCCCTGATTTTCACAAAATATTAAGGAGTCAACCTCGAGGTAGTTAAAAAATTTCATCGATCCAATTAAAAGTTCAGTAGGTACTTATAATATTTATATTTGTATTGGCAGCGACACTGGAGATAATTCGCTAATGGAAAATGAGTATGGTCATTTTAAATAGGTATTAATTATTTCCGTGACGTTTACTTTTTGTTTTGTGACGGTGCGGCCATCTTTGCATTTCAAAGAAATTGTTGGTATTTTCAAAAATATATTAACTATGTTTATGAGTTTAAATAATATACAAGCCGGACCACGGGGCTATCAGTAAAATTCAGGCACAACAGAAACATCTGCTCAATCTTTGGGCATACCTACGCTATATTGTACAAAATTATACTTGTGCATCGTGCCGGTACAATAGTATTTGAGGACGGCTGAAATGTTGGAAAAAAAAAGCGAATTCTTTGTAGAGGGTACAACCAATAAGGGGCCAGGAGCGTCACCAAGTGAATCTGCAGCTGTAATAATATTGTATATGCCTTGAGCAGATGTTTCAGACACACATAATATACATATTATGAAAAGGACGGAAATCGTTTCTAGGTAGACCCTAAATTTGAATTTATAATATCCGAACTATAGGTATATCATAATATTCCGAAAATATTTAATTGTTTAAACCGACTGCGAACAGCAACTACCAACACTGTCGACACAGTAATAATATGTATAATTAGGTGGCAGGACACGGAGAGGGGGGTGAGGGCCCTGAGAGGTATTTTTTTTTTTTAAATAATTGGTGTAATATTTCAAACTAATGTTATTGCGATATGTACCGTAGATCGGTGTAAATAGGTTCGTGGTATAAATAGCTTAAATTTAATGTAAATATTTTTGAAAATTTCTATGAGTAGAAAATAATAAGTTATATACATACATATTGACGAAAAGTTTTAAGTATCAATGGATACATTTTTTAAATTATAATTAAATAACTTAACTCATTATTGCATGTGTAAATATGAATTTACTGTTAGTACATAGTACAACATTTGAATTGTATATAAAATGTTTCA